ATGTAGCCTAACTAACAATGCATCTGGAGTACTTGGTTTGAGTCCCCATTTCAGGCTGATTCCAGAATATTTTAAATTATTTATTAAATATTAATTTAATTATAATTATTCAATTTAATAAGAGAGTGAATTAGTATCAAATTACACAGGATTTATTTATTTATAGTAGCCGAAAAATAGCCTGATTCGTTATGGCGATCGTTTAACTTTGATTAATAACATTGGACTTTGAGATGTATATGTAACTTACATAGGATCCACCCCTTGTAGATTCAAGGAACATAAATATAACATAGATTAGAACAAGCTAGTAAATGCATTAGTTAGTTATGCCATAGAGTCTGGTGTCATTGCAAATTTGGAGGAAGCCAAATTATTAAAACAAGTCTACAATGAGAGTACCTTAGAATTTTGGAAATGCTGAAGATATATAAAGCCATTTTAAAAGATTGTATAAATTATAAGGATTTTGAATCTTCATCTGTCACTTGAATATCAATTTATGATAAACTGCAGAATACAATTTAATAAGGTGGCCACAACTTATAAAAATGTATGGAAGACATTGAATTGATATGTTTTCACAATATGAACTATCACTCAATTCTCTGAGTTAAAGAATACAAAACAATGTAAAAGTCTGGACATTCCACTATATAAATTTTAAATAAAAGTTTCAAATTAGAATGGTTAATATTCTAATTTGAAACTTTAAACTAAAGACAGTCCTGACGCAAGCTTATGAAGTGAATTGAAAAAGTTTGTTGGAAGAGCAAAATAATAGTGAGTAAAGTGCTGTATTAGTGAGAGTGAGTTAAGGCAGATATTGTTGTTATTGCATATCAGACTTAAAGTAAATGTTTTTCAACAAATATTTGTATAAATCTGTACAAAGAATCTATATATAAACAAACATTATTAAACCTGATAAATTTGTAACTTTGTTTATATATACATAACGTGTGTACCATGCTGGGTTGAATGATAGCCAGCTGAGTGCTAGGAGTAGGAGTTTATAGGACAAGGGCATTGAAGGAGTTCCCCAGTCAGCACTGTATGTAACTGAGGATGGTTATATCGTTTAAATATGTCTGGAAGAGGAGATTGTACTGGAGATATAATGTATGAGATGAATGATTTAGCTCAGTCTCTTGAAGGTTCGCTATACCTCGTGCTAGAGTCCACAACAGACTACTTTTTAATTCTCATTTCTTACATTTTTCCTTACAGTGCTAGTTTTTGATAATTATCTGGTTCTCTAGTCATAACCATTAAATAAAAATTTTACTATTCCAAATTTCTAGAGCAGCATCTTCAGAATTTTGAGATCAACTGGACTCGAAGACTTTTTCAGAAAGAAGTGTATATTCGGTGCTTTTGATGCGTATATTTCACGTCCTGTTAAGGTCCTCTGTAGAAGGATAGAACTGAAGTACAGTACCTATATCGTTTAAATTGAAGACAGCAACAATATAACTACATTTGTGACAAAGTTTTCTCTGTTGATGAAATCAGTACGATTCTTAGCATGTTATGATAGAGATAAAATTAATATTCAACAAATAAACTGGCCAGGCAATTTTTATGCTTGATCTCAATATGATAGGCTTGCTTACAACATATTCTGAGATGAGGTACGGTGCTCGCTCGTACAATCCTTGCGTATAGTCACAAGATGTACAAGCATTCGTGAAAACATATACACATAACCTTCTGGAAGTCTATAGTCTTTTCCAGAATAAGAACCTGTCCGATGTTCATAAGTCTTCTTTTTTCTTTTTAAGAACATTGTTTATCTGTTTACTTAAACACAATTAAAGTGTATTTCCCAATAAAATAAACAAATTTATTTCGATTTAGATCGTATAGGCCTACTTGTTTATTACAGTCTTAGAACTACAGTGAGTACATAAACAATAATACATACAGAAAAGTTTTCTGTGAAATTAAACTTCTCATACATACTTAATTTTAATTACACAAACGTATGTACTGTACATAAGTTAAAACGGATAAACTAAGTAATTTGTCAATTTTAACATGCATTCAGAAAACCTACATTATTATATAACGGACTTTCGGCTTTTAACGGACACGCCATCGGCCGAATTAATACGTTAATTCGAGGTTTTACTGTATTAAAAACGAAACAAAAACGTTATACAATGTTATATAACGTGATATATTAAATTTACAAATTTTTAGCTAAGGAGATAAAGTGATACACATTCAACATCCAGCACATCGACTCTGTTCGTATTCTTGATAATACTAGAAATTCTGTATTTCTAAAAGGGTATAAGCACATTTAATTGATTCATAATGTGAATCATTATCATAAAAGCTTGTATATCTTACTTATTTTTATGAATTAATCATAAATGTCTATTTATATAGGCCTACATTATCTTTTATTGTATCAAATTAGATAACTTCACACAAAACGTCATTCAATCCATGCATATACTAGGTCAGGCATGGCCAGCATACGGCCCGTCGAATGAATTTATGCGGTCCGCGATTAATCTTTCAATATTAGCTACTCAAGTCCGAATAGCTCGATAAAAATTCTGACGCCTACAAAAAAAAAGGTCAAAAACTCACTGTGCGTTTAGAGTTAACCCGCCATTACAAATCTCTTAAGTAGAGCATAGAATGTTGATAAAGCATGATAATGTGAAAAATGTATCTGTAATCTCTATGTACAATTTAGTCTCTACGGGGTGTAACATTAGAGAATGAACAGTGGCAACAAGAATGGGATGCCGCAGAAACGGGGAGAACTATTTATGCCTGCATACCATCCATCTACCTACGTTTTAAGACCAGACACTATACTCCTGATGCTGAAACCACGCAATGTCTAACCGGACATGCAATTTTGCTGCCTACCTCCACCGCTTTGGCAAGCAACACAAACGCTTGTGACTGTGACAATACCAGCAAGGGAGACACAAACCACTTTTTGTACGACTGTCCAAAATACGAGGAGGAAAGGCTCCCACTTATCGGGAAATGCCTCAAGAATGGACTCAACTGGCCACCAAACCCCAAGGACATTTTTAACAACCAAGATGTGTGGAATGGCCTCAAGAACTTTATTCATAAAACAAGGGCCTTAAGCAACACGAACAGAACAGAGACTGTACCTTAGATCATCTACTGGGTGCCCTGCAGGGCACATTCCCTTCAACAATTGGGCTAGATCATGGCTCCCAATGTTATTGTAAATACTTCTTTGGATTCTGTTTAGTAAAAGTAACTTATGTAATCATAAAATTGTACTATACAAGTGTTATGTTGTAGAAACTAATTCGTTCTATTCTAGTGTTATACCATGGTAACTTCAATTATTCATTGTATTAAAATTGTAACCAAATTGTGGACTTAACCGGAAATTCCTACTGTAAACGCAAATACCATCCTCACTGTAGCTATCAACTGTAAAACCATCTGCGATCATCTTAATGTTCCCACTTGTTCCCAATCATACTAATGTTAGTTATATTGTTCCAATAACCTCGCCAATTTATTGTAACCGTTGCTTCAGAGATACCATTGTAATCACCCTGTTTCCACGACTTACCAACCATATTTACTCAGTTCTGTAATCACTTCTGGTTTCATCAAATTACTTATTGTGGAATGTACAGCACTGTTTACGTTGCAGTATACATGCTTTGTAAATTTATTAACCAACTTTATGTTGTATGTTAGTTTCATGCACTGATTGTAATATGTACGAGGGCTGTTCGGAAAGTTCGCGGCCTCACATAGAAAAACAAACAAAATAATGTTAAAACTTTTTTTATTTTTCAATGTAATCTCCTCTGNTTGTACATCCCACCCCAAAATATCTATTGGATTCCTGTAAATCAATTAATTTCTATCTACGTTTGATTTGCTGATATACACTTAGTGCCATCTATTGACAAAAAAATTAACTAAATAAACTAAATATAATTCTTATAAAAAACGATATAATTTTTAAAAATATATACGATATCCACTTAATTACTGTGACACTGATGTAGTGCAAAATAGACACGCTACATAATTACTGTGACAGATAGCTTCTAGCACTTGCCTGCATCCAATCAAAAGTGTTGCCCTGTGAAAAATCTATAAGTATTTAATTTTCCATATCTAATGACTCTGATTTTTTTATTTCTGAACAATACTTTCTTAATTGTAATAAGTGCCCTCCAGTAGTCAAGTGCATAAAACTACTAAACTCTGGTAGTTAGTTAGTCGTGAGTTCGGGCATGGCAAACGGGCTGGCCATGTGGAGTTTTCCAGGTTTTCTTTACTTTTAAATAGGGTCCAGCTTCCCATAAAAGTTTTCCTGGGATGTATCCCCTGGCAGATCACTCGTGTTGCGTTATAGTAAGCAAATAAACAAAACTAATTCTAACGAGCGATTATTTATTGTGACAATGTTACAATACCAGCCTGCAACTTTTCAGCACAATGTACTCAATATTTTACTGGTGATTTGCCCCTGTACATCTTACTTTTCCTGTTATCAATAGAGTGGTGCTGGTCATCTATCCAATTCATAACTAAAAGTGGTCTGATATTCAAAGTCGCAAAAAGTAGCCAAGTTTTTTATTTCACTGATTTTCCTAAATAGTATATTATTGTCAGATGCAAAATCATATTGGACTAATTTTGGCATTTTTATTAGACTTATTTTAATTTTTTCTACATAATAAGTTTATGATATTTTCATATAAATAAATATATTTTAGCTCATTTGTGGCACAGCACGGCAGTGGGCCGGATGAACTGACCTCACGGGCCGTAGTTTGTGACTCCCTGACTTAGTCAAAAGAGCTAGAGATAACATTGACTATGATATTAAGTTTTATAAATTTTTATGTATTATTTTCTATCATTTAGATTTAATATTATTTAAACTTTTGAAATTTTATTTGAAAGATTTAATTTAAAAAATATCAAATTTTTATACATTTACACATTTTAATATTATTTTTTAGTCTTTCTATTAAAATTAATGTTAATCATTCCAATGATGATGATGAGGATGATGAAGATGATGACAATAACTTTGATTTTGATATGCTTGGAAGAAAAAAATACTTTTCAGTGGAAAAGGTAAAAATTTTTCCAATACATTCGGTTGATGCAAAAGTTTCTGGAATTTTCTAGACCTGTAGAATATTCAAAATTGTTCTCCAATAGCTAGCATCTAGAAATTTCTTATGGGGTATGTAAATGAAGGATGTTGAGGTTCACAATCATAAGTCAAAACATATTGTGTGTGACAATACCAACTTTTTAAGTACACAGTTTGCCAATGTTTCCTTTTAACCAGATTTGTACACATGTGCTTTATGATTATTAATTTGATATAATAGCAGCCAAATATAATTGCTGTTTGATTCAATCATTCAGCAGACGGCTTCTGCTGGTTGCCACAGCTCATCATTCAATACGACAAAAGGCTTTTGTGAGTGTAACTTATCTTCAACTTCATATTGCCCAGCTTTAAATTTACTAAACCAAAAGTAGATTACAGAACAGAGATGACATTCTTGACTTTATGAGAAATGAGCAAGATAGTTGATTGTCACCAGTCCATCATAGTTTGTCACTTTCCTGCCATTGGAAAGATCTGCAAGATAATTGAGTTCCTCACAATCTGAATGCAAGACTGCATATTGTAATGCACTGCTTAGATCAAATGTTCAAGGTACATAAAAAAATTAGATTTTACTGATTTCCAGGTGTGGTCTTTTTGACATAAGAGAAAATTGAACGCTTTTGTTCAAGAAAAAAGAAAAAACAAATGACAACTTGTCAAAAAATCCAGTAATAATGTATTTATTAAACACTTTCAAGGAGTACTACATCTATGTTCCCCAACAATTTTGATGAATTTTGGCACAAAAGTAGTGTATACTGTCAATTTTTTTCTTAATTTTTGTAAACTAACTGAGTTTGGTACAGATCTTCCATTCCAAATGTCAATTGTCTAGAACTGCAGCAAACCAAGTAACCATGCTAGCTTTGATATTTTTTATTATTCTCTCTCTGATATACGTGCATTTCAAATCACATTATCTTAGTGATTTCTCTTCAGTATTACACCTTAAAAATATAAAAATAACACAATGCTTTTAGAAGATAAATACAATTCAGATTACTAAAAGTAAAAACATAATTGCTTACAATTACTCATGCAACGAATACATTTTTCAGTGATGTTCAAATGAGTTCGCATTCACCTATTAGTGGGATACATCTGATGACTACAGTATACAGTATATAGGTCTACCATTGGCTTGGAAATTTATAGTCAAAAGTTTTACGTGAACTCCTAATTTATGCCTTAGTTTATAATTTCATGTTTTATGAATATGCCTTAATTAATAATTTCTATTAATGTTTGTTTAAGGAATTATTAGTGGATTTTCATTTTTTTTATTATTATATCTGATTTTGTTTTTTTTGTTGCTGAAAAGGTATTTAAAGTGTTGTTGAAGCTAAATTAGTTTTAGCTTATAAAGAAGTGTTTTTTATGCAACTGATCTGATTGGGATAATAAATAAGTTCACTGCATGAAATGACTTCATTAACTTACTGGTTATAATTCATTTCTTAAGTTTTATTAAAGTATTAATGTAACTGCTTATAAGTGTCATTAAAATATTTATGCAAGGGATTTTAAGTGTATTGATATAATTATTAATATAATACAACTTTTATATTATATAAAAACTATAATATATACATAACACTAGATGCCAAATATTGTTACAAAAAATTTATCCACAACTGTCTATTGGTATTATGGAAAAGGTTTAATTTCACAAGTACTTTTGGCAGTATATAAATGTCCTCTTCAGGCAATATCATTCGTAGAGAACAATGTTTCAATTTGTAAAATATGTTGTCTTCAAAAGTACTTGGGAAATTAAACTTTTTCCATAATGCCAATAGATGGTTGTATGGCTAAATTTTTTCTAATATGAAAACTATTTGTTATGCTAAAAATTTTAACTATGGTTCATATTATGGTAAACTTCTTTCTCCAGATAAAATTTGTGTTTTTATTTTAGTGATACAATATCATGGTGTGGATAACAAACATGCCATTGACCTTTCCTTCTCAGATAGATCAGTGCTTTCATGACTGAACTACCATATTACTAGTTTGCTGTAAGTAGTAATTCCATATTGAATTTGTCATAACTCACTCATTGTGGCTCATAGAATGAAACAGTTTAGATGACTGCATAATCGTATCAAACACTACCTTTGTGCCAAAATTCATCAAAATCAGTGGGGAACAGGTGTGGTAATCCTTGTTAGCTAAATCTTACAATTAATAATTATAAATTAAATGAGAAAACACAAAACAGCTCTAGTTAACACCAGGGCTGCAGAGTAAAAAAAAAACACTCAACTCCGACTGAGGCAAAAATAAATACTAAATCATTTTATGGGGGCAGAAGCGCTCATAGGTAGTACCCTACTCTGAACTGTAAAAGGAACCTGGGGCATTTACCTAAATACTTTTATAGTTAGTATTTTTAATATTTAACTTGCATTAATATTTAATAAGAGGAGAAAGGGGGTGATAAAATTCTACTTCTACTTATAGTGGAACCCCGGTTAACGAACGTAATCTGTTCCACGAGTCCATTCATTAACCGAATTGTTTGTTAACCGAAGCAATTTTTTCCATAGAAATTAATGCAAATACAATTCATTCATTCTAGCTGTCAGTATTTTTGTAATTTTATTTGTAAAATGGGTTTCTTGATGAAAATATAAGAAAATGTAGTATCTATTATTACAGCAACAAATATGTAAACTTTATTTAATAAAGTAGCACTGTACATACCTTTGTTTCTATGGAGCTTAATGCTTGGAAGAGGAATCCCCCTCCATAAAAATATCGGGTAGCACTGCATCGGGAGTTTCTTCGAGTCGAGGTCTCTTTTGATAAGGAACAAGAAAGTGGTCTAAAGTTGATTGTCTTACTCTCTTAATCAAAATTTTTCTAAAATGCGCTAGCACTGTGTCGTTCATTAAATTAATGACCCATTAGCCACAACTTTTGTTAGAATGGTGCTTCTCGATAAATTCCTGCACATCATTCCATTTTCTGCAAATTTCCTTGATCTCAGCACTGGTGATTTCTTCCCTAGCCTCTTCCTCTGATGAATGCTCTTCTTGTAAGACTTTCATCTGTTCTTCCTGCATGGCAACCAGCTCTTCTGTCGTTAGTTCATTTTGATGGTCTTTCAGCAACTCCTCCACATCTGCATCATCTTCCTCTACTCTCAAACTCTTGCCAATGGACACGATTTCATGCACTACATACATCAGGAGAGTTCTCTTCTTCAAATTCCTGAAAGTTTCACTCTGGGACACAAGTTTGCCAAAGTTTCCTCCTGGCCGATTGCAAAGTGCGGTGAGAGACCTCACTCCAGGCTTTGTCAATAAGGTTGATACAATGCAGGATGTTAAAATGCTCCTTCCAAAAAGCTCTAAGAGTTAAGTCAGTATCATTGGTAACTTGAAAACACATGGTAAACAGTGCCTTGGTATACAGCTTTTTAAAATTGGAAATCACTTGCTGATCCATTGGTTGCAGTAATGGAGTTGTGTTGGGTGGAAGGAATTTGACCTTGATGAAGTCATGTTCATTATCCAAGTCTTCCTGCAAATTTGGTGGATGTGCTGGAGCATTATCCATTAAGAGAAGACATCTAAGAGGAAGATCCATTTCTTGAAGATAATTTTTAACAGTAGGAGCAAACACTTCTGTGAGCCAATCCATGAATAAAGTCAGAGTTACTCATGCCTTACTATTTGCCTTCCATTGTACAGGCAGTTTGGACTTTATCACATTTTTGCTCTTAAAGGCACGGAGATTTTCAGCATTGTAGACTAAAAGTGGCTTAATTTTGAGGTCACCACTTGCATTAGTGCAAAATAAAAGAGTGAGTCTGTCCTTCACGGGCTTGTGCCTGGGAAGTGCTTTCTCCTCTTGGGTTATGTATGTTCATCTAGGCATTCTTTTCCAAAAAAGACCGGTCTCATCTGAATTAAACATTTGATTCCAGATGTATCCTTCATTTTTTACAAACTCTGAAAATTCATCTACAAATGCTTTTGCTGCTTTTTCATCTGAACTTGAAGCCTCCCCGTGTCTTATATATTATGCTTTTTTATTTCCGAAAAGGCAAGAATGCTTCGCACACACAAAAAAAAGATATGTTCTGTGTATGGTGAGGGAGCCATTGATGATTCCACGTGCCGTAAGTGGTTCAGAAAGTTTCGTGAAAGCAAGCTTACAAATTTGACACAAAGCCTTTAAGTTTGTTATCAGAGACAAAATTTTTGCAAAATAAAAGTTTGTTAACCAATTTGGTCATTAACCAGGACGTTCATTAACCGGGGTTCCACCGTATATTCAACAACATTTGCATTTCAATTTCACCCTTTCAGAAGAGTTAGTCCAACTAAAAAGTGTGCAACCTAGCTACTTCAGCCCCTTGTTCAGAAAAGAAAAATATGTACTCTGATCAATTAGTCTAGCTCATTCAGAAAAATAGAGTACTTATTTAGAGCAGGGATAATAAAGGAATGATTCAAAAATATTCAAATTCAATTGGGCCAAAATAATTTAACTACTAAATACAAATACTACAAAGAATACCTATAGGGTGACAATAATTAACCCGTACAAGTTTTTTGCATCATAAATTTATTAAAGAAATGAAAATTAGCAAAACAACAGTGGATAGCAGTGACAATACTTTACATATTAATCAGATATTCAGCCGATTTCAAAGTGCCTTGATGCAGAGCCCCAAACGTGTTTTGAAATTCTTGGCGATGAGCAGCAGCTCTTCTGGAGACAGTTTGTCCCACTCCCGGCACAAAGATTGCTTCAGCGACTCCAAACTTTTGTGGCGCTTAGCGCAGGCCCTGGCCTCCAAAATGGACCACACACTGTAGTCCATCAGGTTCAGATTCGCCGAGTACAATGGCCATTCCGCAGACAAGATGAAATCAGGAAAATGGGCTTTGCACCACTCCTTAGTCTTCTTCACTCTGTGTGCTGGCTCAGAGTCCTGCTGAAAGGTCCATTTTACACTGCCAAAATGCTGTTGAGTTCATGGAAGTATCACGGCCTCGAGAACGTCACGGCAGTACACGTCTTGATTGATTTTGGCCCCTTGATCGACGAAAACAAGGGGTGTCTTGCCTCTTGCACAAATTCCGTCCCAAACCATGACTGACATTGGATTTTGGCGATGTTTGATGATGACTGAGCATCCAGGAGCCTCTGCAGACCAATTCCTGTCGTTTTGATGGTTGTGCGCCTGTTGTATGGAGAAAAGCTTCTTGTGTGTGAAGAGAATGCTCTCCCATTGTTGACCTGCGGCCCAACACTTGAGTTGACGGCATCTTTGGAGTTGCATGCGCTTGTTTTCGTCAGTGGGGAGCTGAATCTTTTGGAACTTGTAGGGTTTGAGTCTGAGTTCCTTTATCGCCATTAACTGCAACAATTCACGATTGATTCCAATCTCATGAGCAATTTTTCTCATGGAGATCTTTGCATATTGGTCAACTTGCTTTGATGATCTTATGGTTTTTAGACGTGCTGACAGTGCGCTTTCTTCCATGTCTGGGATGGTCACTATCATGGCCAAGCTCCTTGAATCGCCAAACTGCATCCGAGACTCTCATTTTGGAAACACCGAGCAAATGAACAATTTCACATTGACACGTTCCTTGCCGAAATAGCTCCAAAATTACACGTTTGTTTAACATCCTTAAAAAAATAAAGAACTAACCCTTATTACACTGAAAGCACATTTACATGGGCAGGAAATCATGGAGAATTAAACATAACAGTATGTAAATTGGTGACGGTAAAAAAGTTCAAGTGCAGCATTGCTACAAACTTTGTACGGGTTAATTATTGTCACCCTGTACATATTTAATAAATTAAATTGATGCATTTTGTATTTAAAATAAATGAATTTATAAAAAAAATACAAAAAGATTTTTAAAAATTAATAAATATATAATAAATTTTCTTTCATTTAAATAAAAGAAACTAAAGTAAATTTAAAATACAGGAGTTGGAGTCGACACATTTTTTCTGACTCTGACTCCTCTGTCCAGAAATTCCTCTCGACTTCTACTCCATAGCCCTGGTTAACACTCAGTAAATTATATTCTAGTAATTCGAACAAATTATAAAAATTTGAATTTTAATTATTTTGGAATCAAAACTAAATGTAAAATAAGAATTACAAATTTTTCATAACACCTAGGGAACTTAACTTTAATGTAAACTAATCTCAAACAATACCAACAATAAAGTTAATTTACTTGCAAAACTCATAAAATTTAACCGTCATTACAAAGAACACCAAAAAGACTCCAATCACTTCAAAATCATTGTACCTTGCACTTGGTAATCTCATTTCACACTTGGTAGCTTCATTTCAACACTTTTCTCTCATTCTTCAGTTGTATTATACTCCTTGAGTGTAACATCACAATAGCTTATGCCAATCCATCCTGTTCACATACATGCTAACATTTTAATTCTTAGCAATCTTTTCCTTTGATTTATATGTTGAATTTTTAAACCTGCAACAATGTGATTAAGTGGCTATTCTTTAACCTACATTAGAGATTGCTTAATTGGAAATGTCATTTTGAGATTGGTGATGAATGCATTCACAACTGACATTCACTGTAAGTAATAATTTTAAAGTTTTTGAATTTAGAACTAGGAGATGGGAGAATTCTCATCTTTAAACAAAATTAAAAGGTCCCCAAACAAAATTATAACAAAAAATAAAACAAAGCCCATAAACATAAAATAACATTCAGACTTACACTCTGTCAAAGTTGACCTGGCAGAAGCTTCTCAATCTTAGCAAGGAGTTTCTTCCACATCCCTGTATAACCCAGACATTGCACCATCTGACTATCATCTCTTCTGCTCCATGTGACAACACTTTTTGAATGGAGAGCAGTCTGCTGCTGATGAGATAAAAATTGCGCTTTCAGAGTTTTTTAATTCAAGACAGCCTAAGTTTTATTTGGCAGAAATCTGTGACCTGTCCAATTGATGGGAGGTGCTTGAATGTAATGGCAATTATTTTCTTAAATAAATTTTTTTTTAAAATAAATGATTTAGATACCAGTAAACCAAGGTTATTCTATGCACTTTTCAGATTTTTTTAATGTTAATTACCGGATTATTGGACCAAATTTGTCTGTTAGTTGTTATTTTAGGAAGATTTAGCATTCCCCTTTCTTTACACAGAGAAGTTTTTAATTATTAATTAATTCAATATTGTGAAAAATATTTGTCATAATTTACTCCGTCATTTGGGATAGGTTTATGCAACAACCCATTTGTATAGTGAACTCTATAATGTTACCCCGCAGTGATTGCTAATAGGAAAGAAAACGAGAGAAACAAAAGTTAGTATTTCTAATGAATTTTTTATTCTTCAATAAATGCGTTGTAAAACTTGTTAACAGTCTGATATACAGAAAATCCTTTTTCAAGAATAAGAGAGCAATAAAATAAAATGATTGAGAAAGCAAAGCAGCAATTTCTTTCCTTTTTCTTCAGGCTTCACTACCAATATTTTGCAATAGACTCCATTGCAGTTATACTCGAACCCACCTTTCTTCAAAAATTACGATTACATGATTACCAATTTATTTTTCTTCTAGATTAAATTAGATTATATTTATAAATAATTATAAGCAAGAATAATACTTTAACTTAAACATACTTTTAAGACATCAAGTTCATACACCATTTCTTGGTTATCGGAAAAAACATCAATAGTGTAAAATATGATGTCATATACTTTTCGGCTTTAGTGTAGATAACACCACTGTACTGGTATCTTACCCGAAAATAAATTTTGGAATGGATATAAATCCGCCGTATTCAAAATAAAACGTTCTAGATATCACAAAATAACCTCGGTTTACAGATGTATAGGCCTACAGTAAATTTCCTGACATATTACCATTTGTAATCTTTATGCATATGTAGTGCATTCTTGTTCCTGAAAGAGGTCTAAATGGTATGATCTTTCACAAGTGATCAGGATTAAACTATAGGCCTTTTATGGGAGATAAGGCCTTCATCATGAGCTACTGATGAACGCTTGTAAAGTAGCTTCCACATTTGTCAGAGCCTATAAATTTTATGTACTGTACCTGTACGGTCCTGTAAGTATACTGATTTACTGACTTCACTGATGAATCTTATAAAGTTTATAAGATTCTTATAGGATACTCATGAGTCATCAACCTTTTGTTATAAAGAGCCTAATTATATATACAATATATGAGTTTATATAGGCATATATATATAATTTTTATGGGAGAACTAATTACTAATTGCTTTGTTTATAAATTATACANTTTTATGCAACTGATCTGATTGGGATAATAAATAAGTTCACTGCATGAAATGACTTCATTAACTTACTGGTTATAATTCATTTCTTAAGTTTTATTAAATTACTAATGTAACTGTTTATAAGTGGCATTAAAGTATTGATGTAAGTGTTTTTGAAAATATTGAATGGGATGTTAATTTATTAAAAATTAGCATCTTTGTACAAAGTTTACTACATACTGACATTTTAGTTTATTATAACCCTTTGAACAAAACTTTTTCTGAAATTAACAGCTTTCATTGATAAAATGACATAATTTAGCACCATAAAACACAAATTTAACAAGGCGTTTTCTTCTTGTTTGTGTTATCCTTTTTCCATATTTCATATGGGGATCAGTATTTCTCATCTTTAATCTGTTTTCTCCACTTCTCTCCATCCAAGGTGTCCTCTCTCCCAAATCCTATGCCACCTTGTCTATATCTCAGCTTTGGTCTTCCATGCTTCCTCCTCTCTATCATTTACAATTTCCCAATCATCTTTCCAACATAGTCCTCACTTCTCTCCAACATGTCCTAACCATCTTAATCTATCAATATTTTCCTGCATCTTACTTAAACCCATTTTGCCTGTTCCTTGTATGTAATCATTCCTAATTCTGTTCTTCCTCGTCATACCACACAATTGATTTTAGTGTTAATTTTGCACTAACAACCGAATAGTTTATCATCACTAAGTCTTTGCACTGACATGGTCCATTTGCCACTATCAATTAGTGAAACTAGTGTGAGATAAGCAGATTGTCAAGTGTTAATCCCTTCTGACCACTTAATCTGCACAGGCTGGTAAACCTGATCTTGAGATCATTGGATGGCTAGGAGAGCAAATCAAGTGGGGAGGACATCGGTAAGTCGGCAGAGGTCCATGGACAAACAAAAGACAGGTTTTAACATAACAAAATATAAAATTTATTATAAACTAAATCTAGAAGATAAAGATTTATAAACGGATAAATGCAGTTATGAATGCAAACAATAAATTGTTACGAAACGTGTGCGTGACCTAATTTTCCTATTCTAATGCACTTTATACAGAGAGAGAGTTTACAAGTTTCAGCTCCCTTTTAAATACCTCTCAGGCGTATTGGACAGTCGATGTGGAGAACTTCATTCATATGGATGGGTCGTCGTCACAGATGGGTTTCCAATCGATGTCTTCTCCTCTTCTTGGTCCAGTCCGGGTTATGGAGGTCTGGGAGATGAAATGCACACAACTACTGATTGATGTCCTGATTAATTGCTCCCCAAGCTTCCAGTGACTTTCTCTTTTATCCCCTTGTTGTGAGAAAAAGCATCACGTGTTTGTCCAATGTTGACGGTTATGGTGCAAAGTTGACACTTATGAGTCAATTTTCCCATCGGATTGTTATGACTAATTGCAACCTCTGTTCTAATTCTTCCCGGGATTGTTTTTTGCTGTCGAATTTCTTTACAAATTCCTCGACAAATTCAAATTTCCAACAAATGTGTAAAATCGCGGATCTCACACTAGTGATAGGAAGAGTTTTGTAAATATCGATATGTCAATATATCAATAATCTACAAAGCTGATAATGATATCTAATATCATCACAAAATATTGATATATCAGACTAAGCTGGAAATTTTGACGACAGGCTAAAATTTTGCGTTGCAGGTTTAAAAATCAACATGGAAAAGGGGATCTTATGCAAATATGCAAATCTTGTGCAAAGAAACCTATGTAACATTTCCTCACTTTTACTTTTAACAGTGTGGGAATCCAACCCAGCAATATTGTAATTCACTGGACCCCAAAACCTGCACTTTGGATTTGAAAGCTGTACAAAAAAAAGCAAGATAATAATGAATTCAGAAATTACCAAATACTACTATACATGCAAATGCAGTATGTAACTTGTTTGTTTATTTATTATTTTTATGATCTTACTTGATACATTTCAAACTGCATTACATAGCCTACTAACTTAGTATGTTGTAACAAACCATTTTTTGGAGAGAGAAGATAAAAACATTAGCTTTGCAAGGATTTGCTGGCAAGCCTGCTTTGTCTTGACGTCATAATGAGACCCACTTTCAAAAACAATCTTTCTGATGGAACAGGGCTTCCTGGAATACAGTAATACTGGTCTGCTAGCTTCTTCGTGTTTGGGAATATGGCAGACAAATGTTCCCATTCTTTTAAGGGGCAGCATTTACAATCTGTAAAATTTTGATTTAGGTAATGTTTTAACTCTGTAAAACAAC